CAGAAGTTCTTAGAAAGTTATTAAACAGAATTAATTAACCTCAGCGGTAGATATAGATCAGTATTCCAAAGGGTAAGTTAATACACACATAATGCCATTCCACATATAATTACATCTACATTTACTTTGTATGATAATATGACCATACGACCTTGAGAACGCATGATAAGAACCACTGAAATTTTGAAATAAATATACGCTTACATTTGGTCACTTAGCTGTCCGCTAATCAGGCTTAGCAGTAGCCGAGCTTGACAAATCCCAAATTTATGACTTAATCCAGATTCGATATAGTTTACCGCAAACTACACATTGCGATGGGGATGAATTGCTTGCTTTCGATATAGAATTCGAGGTCGCACAAAACGAAACAATGGAGACGTAAGCAAACGAAAAACACTTCCCACGCTCAGCCTTAACACCTCATTAATCCACAAATAAGCATAGGCGAACAAAACTATACACGGAAAGGAACTACTATGGACAAAGCGCTGACAAAAAGGCGAGCAACTGCGCCGTCTGTTATGCATTATAAATAAATATTATTAATATTATGTATTGGCAACAACTTTAGAAGGTTACATTCAGAGATATGTATGTACTTATGGAATTGCGATTGAATGAACCCCTCATAGACTGTTATTACGTGTACCTTGAACTCAGCAAGTTCTGTAGGAAACTGGCCAACCCCTAATTGAAATTATGCGCCAGTAAAGTCGATTGAAGCTGCGCAGTGGAAACTGGAGTACTTCCACAACTTAAATGCCATGAACGGATAAACAAATGAGGCGGTGAAAAAAGTAGAGCGTAAAAAATATCAACCGTACCGAATGCAGAGACAAAAGCCTTACTAAACGAAACAAAAAGCAGAATTAGGAAAATAGTAAAAAAAGTACGGAAATTAATATGAAATTTGAATTTAGCAGAATTGATTTCACAGTGTGTGTGGCGGTCAGGGCAGCGTTATCAAAGGGGAGGAAAGTTGGTGCATGCTTAAGGAAAGCTGTCAACTGCAGTTGTGCAATGGACCAACGTGAAATAGCTGCATACATATATAATTATGCATATGCATATGGTACACACATATACACATACATGCATACATTTTTGGGATTTCTCGGGAAACTCTATGCTACTTTGAACTCCAACTGTTTGAAACCGAACGAAAGCAATCAAGCATGACAAATTCATTCAGAAATTTATCCAAGTCAACGCACACGCTAGCCGCGCATTCAATTACATAAATATAATATATTCATGCATATCCTCATACACACAACCAAATGCATGTATACATATATATATATATATGCTATGCTTGAAGGTCAGTGATTATGTTTGAAGGGGTAAATATAGGCTGTGTATGTAGGATGACAAATACAATAGAATTAAAATTGAAATTTCTCTTAGAAATTTGTATAAAGATGTACACACTTATTTTTTAGATATTTTTGGAGAGTATACCGTTGCCTTGGACAATAATCCGTGCCAAATTTCGTGAAGATATCTTGTGAAATAAAAAATTTCCCCGAAAAGCAGTTTTTTTGATTTTGATCGTTCAGTTTGTATGGCAGCTATACTCTATAATAATAAAAAATATAATTCTAAACAATTTTAACATCAATTGAAATGGAAAAGTTTATCATATTTCCCTGACTACGTTTATTAATAAAAATATTTTAATTTGAATGGCTGTAAGATATATTTATTCACAAAGTTGTGTTTATATATGAAATTTGATGGGAGCAGTAAAATAGTAGTAAAGTAATAAATTTTTTTTTTTTTTTAACTGAAGGATTTTCGGAAGTTCCGTCTATACGAGATATTAGTCCTTGGTAGCATGGCCATGATTTTTATCTCTCATATTATCCTCTTCATAGAATCTACGAGACTCTGGCACCTTTTTAGTGGTATGTTCTGCCCTGCTTGCTGCACTATGATCCACAACTCATTGTTTTTTTTGGGTTTGTTATTCTATACGGCTTTCTTAACGTCTGCCCAAAGGTTTTCAATAGGATAGAGGCCAAGCGTTCGAGCTGACCTATCCAAGACATTAATTCCATTGACCCGTAACCACTCCTTTGCCACCCTACTGGTGTGCTTCGGGTCATTATTTTGCTGAAATATCCTTTTCGGCGAGATGTTCCCTTCAGCAAATGGTATCATAATATACTGCATTACATTCACGACTTTGTGTCGGTCCGTTATGCTAGTAATCTTGTGAATTGGGACTACACAAAAAAAATTGGGCCTGTAAGAAAAACAACCCAAACCATGAAATTCAAACCGCCAAGCTTCATAGTTTTTGTGCTGAATCTGGGAATCTCCATTTTACAAGTACTGGTGTAAAATTCTCCGAAAGAATCCATATTGCGCCCCTTTTTTCGTCTTTTTTTATAAATAATTGAATTGTGAGTCGTTGTGGCTTAACACCCTACATTTCTTTCCACTCCCTTGTAGGATTTACCGTTGTTTATGAGAGATTGAATCCATTTTCGTTTTTCTTCACTGCAGTGCTTCCCGCGGCCCACTAAAATATGCACAGTCATATTTTTTTAGCTTTTTTCATTGGATAATTAATAAAATAACAAGAAACTTACTTTTTGATTGATAAAATTAAATATTTTTTAGTAAAAATAATCTGTGTCCAATCAGCTCACCGTTCACTACTATTTTAATGCGCGCTCATAAATACAGATATCACAATATAATTCGCTGTAAAAAAGTAACGGTAAGTGTTTCGCACTTATTGTTGTGTATAACAGGACCGTTACACTACAGAGAATATAACTAGAATAATAATCAACTTCAACTAACTATTTTTGTCAACAGCCACTACTATTTCAATGCTCATAACCGTATATACATACATATTTTATGAGGTCTCCGATGTTTCCTTTTGGATGTTAGATAGATAGATAGACGAGAATTAGGTCTATTGTGCCCTCTCCCAAATTTCAAAGTCCAACATACTGTTATGTGCTAGTGAGGGGAAGTGATCCCCAGGGCCTTTAACCTGCGTCCCCAAACTGCTTTGCAGTCAATTGGCTGTTCTGGACTTTCAAGAAGGTAGTAAAAGTGCTTCTTCAGCTTGCAGTGACCAGTGTATAATGAGACAAGTAGCCTGATTTTGTCCCTTTGGAGGTTCATTACTTATTTAGACCTGCTGAGGTTGTAACCCATTAGATTTGATCTCATAGGAAGAAATTGGTTTAAGTGCCGCTTGACTATCGCTAAATGTGGTTATATGTATGTACGTTCGTTGCGATAGTTGCGTTGGCAATTTATCTCTATGCACCGACTTATGGCAAAGATTTCTGCCTGAAAAATGCTCGAAAAACTTTCCATAGCTATGGAGAGTCTAGGTCTAGCGACTCCTATAGCAATTACCTATGACGCTTTCAAGCCGTCGGTGTACCACTTGATTGTACTATGCCTAAACAGTAGCTCGAGAGGGGAACAATTCCATTCAACTTTGCTGCTAAGGTTAACCTTGAATTTGTCGGTGAAGTTTACCCTTTTGGTAATGCTGTCTCTTGGGAGAAGAGCCAATGGTATTGCACGGCTAAATCGAATCAGCTCGAATCGCTGGAATGAGATTTCCTTACTTCTATCACACCCTTCTGCGATAGTTGGAGCCCTACCGAAGTTTGCGAAGCTTTTGAGACTCAAGCCACCACCCTATACATGATTATTGGTCATCATCTAACAATACTTGGCTTGCAGCCACATTATTTACCAGACCATATTGGTCATCTCTACCTCTTTGCCCCTAAGTCGGACAGAGCCCTACGTCTCTTCAACGGGGCAATGGTCGTCTTAGAGGGGTTGATGTTCAGCTCAACTCCACTGGACCATCCTTTAGCCAGGTTTAAACCTCTTTTTATTAAAATTACCCCTGGCTATAATGGCAATGTCATCTTTGACTGCGAATCCCACTGTTAATTAGCATAGCTGGTAGGTCGTGCTAAAAAATTCGTGCAAAACTTACCATACTGTATAAATATGTTTATAAATGTAATAATAATTATAAAGTTTTGTAATGAAAGTTGTAATTTAAGACGTATTCCGAAATACAAGTACTATATTTCATTGTCACTACCGCAAATCTTGTTTGAAAAAAGAACTACAGACTCGTTAACACGAAGACGCGGACCTCTACTTTATACCAAAGAATGACCTCAGTTCAGATTTTCAACCAGATTTCGATCAGTATAACATACTTGTCGAAGCTTAAGCAGATGCTACGGTACAGAAAAATCCCTGGAGACTAAAAATATCTGTGCTAATAACTTTGGGCGCACTAGGTACAGGAAAAGTCGTTTAGTCTTAACCGTAAACATTATGGACCACGTAGATCAGGATTCTACTGTCAATTAATTAACGCTTGAATGCTAAATGCGGTGAATATTCTCCTTCAATAGCGACCGTCAAAAACTGGATAAACTATGGAAAAGGGCTACCGCGAAGGCTAGTTTACTTATGTTAAAAGACGCTACCCCATTTTGGCAGATGGACGATTGAAGGTGCACGAGATAACTGAGAGACTAGATATCTCAAAAACCGTGTGGGTCGTAAACATAGATCCACTGGTACACACCAAAGACCCATACCACAGTCGCAACTGTGGTATTCATCCGTCAAACCTGCTTCAAAGAAGGCGAAGACTTGAATATATGCCAGACAGCTAGTAAAAAACGATCGCAGAAATCTAAAATTTTAGATAAAATATCACTTTCGCATAAATAGTAGCGTAACCAAGTATAACAAAATTTTCTCTCCAATAACTCTCGACTTAAATTAGATATTACGAAAATTACGATTATTGCAGGGAAAATAAGTTAAGTAATTTAAATTGGAAACCCTATTTTTGATATTTTGCCCAAGAATTTCCAATGTTTCCCTTCGTGATAGGTTGGCATTAATCTGCTTAGCCATGCTTGGTTTGTATTGTTTATAGACACATTTTCAAATTTTATTCAATGTGTTTTTGTAATAATTTCGGTTAAAAAATTCAAAATCAATTGTGAAAAATTTGTGTAGAAAATGAAACTTACAATTAAAAATTTAGACCACAAGAGTTTCGTAATCAACACTTACGGCTTGAAAACTGTTTCCGATTTAAAACGTAAACTCTACAATGTAGCCGTTACAAATCTTCTACCCGAACGACAACAACTACTCTATGCGGGACGCGTGTTGAAAGACAACAAATTGCTCTCTTCCTACTCCATAGATGAGCGTAAGTTTTTGTTGGTCATGGCAAGAAAGCCTTGGAGAACGTCGAACATTGCTGAATCAATCCACCAAACCACCAACAATAATAACAATAACAACAAAAACAAATGGATGACAGAAATATCTGGGCAAAAGCCCGCAAACGTTGGTCAAGGTGACGAATTAAATAACAAAGGAGCGGCAAAAGACATGACAGAACAAAGAAGAGTCCGTATAAAGCACATTAAAAAGAAGCCAAACAGCAAAATTTTAATGGCCAAAAGTTCGATAAAATTGAAGGCTTCCAAAAGCATAGCAAAGAAAAGGCATAAATCACAAAATAAATTTAAAACTAGAACATCTTCAAGCGCTTCCTTATCACACGAAGATAGCCGAACAAACAATAAAATACGACAGGATTCAGCAAGCTCTATAGAATCAACCGATTCGAAGCAAGCAAGATGTCGGTGTCATAAAGTCAAAATAACAGCTAACAACAAAACAATGAAGTCAACAAAATCCTTGCTGAGCACCAACAGATTGCGCGCAACGAAGAAAGCCAGCAAAATGCAAGCAACGAAGCGCAAAATATTGAAGAAATCGACACAAAACAGAGTTTGCGATGAGCACGTACTGCGACAAATTGTGGCGATGGGATACAGAGAGGATGATGTACGACGCGCTCTAGTCGCTAGCTTCAACAATCCCAACGAAGCTGTCGATTACCTTATAAAGCAGATGCAAGAGCGCGTCGGACACCAAACCGCAATAAAACAGAAGCAGCAGCAGCGGCGGCCACAAACCGCAAATCAGCACAAAGCTAAAACAACAGAGCAGACGAAGCTCAATCAAGCGAACGCCCTGACATTTCTGCGACAAGATCCAGACTTCAAGAATCTGCGACGCCTTTTGCGTAAGCGGCCGTACGTGCTGCAGGACGTCATACGGCGTATCGATGAAACGCAGCCGGAGTTGTTGTTAATGCTGAAGGAGCATGAGAGTGAGTTTCTGCAATTGTTGCACGAAAGCAGTGCGGAATCGGAGGATGAGCAGTGCAGCCATTGCAACTACAATCACATGCATATCTCGCCAGAGGAGGAGAAGCATATAGCGCGTTTGGTGCGTATGGGTTTCAAACGTCAGATGGTGATCTTAGCCTTCATAGCTTGTGATCGTAATGTCGAGAGGGCTGTGGACTATCTCTGTCGTATCGATGACATACACATGTGAGCGCAGAAACCGGTGAGATTTTGGAAGGTACTAAATATATTAAGTCAGATTCAGTGAACGATTTTTATAATTAATTTATTTTTATAGGTGTTTTTCTTTTTTTTTTTTTTGTTTTGAAAATTTCGTGTATTTTTATCATTCAAATACTTTTAACTGAATAAATTTTTGGTTGCACATCGCAATTCCAAAAACGTACCAAAGTAAATGCAGTGAATAAAAAAAAGTAATGCCTCAAGCTAGACACCAACAAATATAATAAAAAACAAGTAAGGAAGGGCTAAGTTCGGGTGTCACCGAACATTTTATACTCTCACATGATAAAGTGATAATCGAGATTTCAGGCGTGGTTGTGAACCGATTTCACCTATATTTGGTACATATCATCACGGTGTTAAGAAAATATTATATACCGAATTTCATTGAAATCGGTTGAGTACTTCCTGAGATATGGTTTTTGGCCCATAAGTGGGCGACGCCACGCCCATTTTCAAGTTTAAAAAAAAACCTGGATGCAGCTTCCTTCTGCCATTTCTTCCGTAAAATTTAGTGTTTCTGACGTTTTATGTTAGTCGGTTAACGCACTTTTAGTGATTTTCAACATAACCTTTGTATGGGAGGTGGGCGTGGTTATTGTCCGACTTCTTCCATTTTTGAACTGTATATGGAAATGCCTAAAAGAAACGGTATAGAGCCGTTTGGTTGACATAGCTATAGTAGTTTTCGAGATATGTACAAAAAAGTTAGTAGGGGCCGGGGCCAAGCGTGTACCAAGTTTCATCACGATATCTCAATTTTTACTCAAGTTACAGCTTGCACGGACGGACGGACAGACAGACATCCGGATTTCAACTCTACTCGTCACCCTGATCACTTTGGTATATATAACCCTATATCTGACTCTTTTAGTTTTAGGACTTACAAACAACCGTTATGTGAACAAAACTATAATACTCTCTTTAGCAACTTTGTTGCGAGAGTATAAAAATATATAGTTATTCATTTATTTACAGTAACGTTGATTGGATGGTAGCCTCGTGGCGGTTAATGTTGCTTAATCCTATTTGTTTAATCGTTTCCACATTTTATTGCATCGCTTTATCGCAAGGGATGAGTTATCATTGCATCTTAGCGAGCGATGTTTTGTTGCTGTGTTGCGCATGTGCACTTTGATGGTTTCGGTTGATTTTTAAGCACAAAGTCAAATAGGAGAAAGGGTTGATAAACTGCTAAAAGAACTCCGTATAAATTAAGGGTAGAATTCTCTAAATCTAAGAGTGAAGTTAACTACAATTTAATATGTCCCGAAATGCAGAAAAATGAAATCACAACAGCATGTTTACAAATAAACAATGCCCACAATTAGGGGCCTGAGAAAGTCGAAAGTTAATTGTTCTTATCGGAGGAAGCAATTATAAAATTTTGTTCTTGTTGTTGTAGCTGTATATCCCCTTAAGGTTCAGATAAGTTGACATCGAGGTCATGCAACGTTATGTTCAGGAAATGTGCTGTTTCGACGGAGCCAGATCATAGGGAGAGGGGTGCAAGCGGTGGTTAGAGTCATGCGGGGACTCGTTGCATCCTGGAGATATATTCGGTTTGTCGAGGTCGATTCTGTAAAAAGTAGAAGTTCAACCTGCTATAGTATCCAGAGAGAAGCTGCTCTAATTCCTAATTCCCACGACAGCCGGTTCTACGTTACCGGAATTGACCCGGATTTTATCCAACCAAGGACTGTTTTTCGGAGATCTAACCTCGTTTGTTTGTTGGCTTGAATTTTTTAACTTGGTGTATATGGCTCCCAAAACTTTAAACAAGGTTTACTCAAAACCCTTTCTACAGCTTCGGTGAGGAAAACTTCTCGGTAACGGTGGGTCCCATCGATTTGAAATTTTCAGAAGACCTTCTATCAAATATAAAATTTTTGAAAATAATTTCGATTTTTTAAGTCACTGTGAAGAAAAGCAGAAAAATCTTCCTCAACGCCAGACATTTTTTTCCAGAACTCATTCCAGAGATCGGGTACGGGATCAAGAGAATCCAAAATTTACAAAATGGTTCTCCGATTATTAAATTTTTAAAATGTACATGTAATGCCTCTCGGAAAAAATCTCAAAAACACGCGGGAGAAAACGGAAAAAAAGATTGAAAAAAAGATTGCTTATCTTCTTCAACGGACTGAAATTAATTCGTTAGACCGTCTTGAAAAAGTATGACAGCTGTTCAAAATTAAAACCACATGTTCAAAGTAAACCGTTACATACAATACAATGAGTAATCCTTTGAAGAAAAAATTGAGCTGAGAGCGAAAAGTCAGTCAATCGAAAATCAATTATTCGAGAACTATTGAGAACGGAACATAACTGCTTTTACTATGATCTTTTATTTACGAGTTTCGGGCTTGAATATGCGCTTCGCATCAGACCTTCATTTGCGGTTATTGAAAATCTTGCGGTAGATGGCTCCAACAACAATTCCTAATTTAATAGTTACGAATAACGTTGAAATGCTTTCGGCTCAGGGAAGCTGGCGGTTACGTAGCCTCCATTGTCTGAGTAACGGTTGTCAGTTTTGTTTAACGGGAAGGCCAAACTAGTGGTCAACATCTAGCGGTATCTATGGAACTATATGACCCATGGATTAATACGTGAGAGTTTTAAGGGATTAAAGCACAAGCTAATAATGGATGAGAGAGTATTCGGTATCCTCAATCCAAATAAAATCTGATCAAACTTGGCTCGGACTGCTCTATTTTAACTGGGCGCCCAAACCGAATCTATAATTTTTTTTTTCTAAATTGGTTAACCTATTTCATGTTCGTGTGAAGTTCGATCTCCAAAGGTCTATTAGTGTGTGTTTGCGAGCTATTTGTTTATGACGCAAAAAAACGGTGTTGACATTGGAGCAGGTAGAAGATCTATATATCTAAGCCTGATATTTTTCGATTCAAACAGGGTTAGGAATAACAGTCCTTGGTGGGATAAAATTCGAACCAATTCCGGTAACGTAGAACCGGCTGTCGTGGGAATTGATTCTCAATAGGATCCGAAAGCGATGAGCGAAAGATGCTCGAAACATTAGACGAAACCGTAAAACTCCAAACTCGAACTCCGTTCCCACGACAATCAGGTCTACGTAACTGAAACGGTCCAAGATCTGTAAACTCGGCATAATTCTGTCGCTACAACAGCAAACTCGAACTGAAGGCCATCACAGCCAAAACTTCTAAAAAGTGTGTAGTAATTTGGACTAAGCTTTGTCAGTCCGGGTCAAATTTGATCAGATGATAAAGAAAGGACTTCAAAAAATTTAACCTCTTATAAAAGCCATGAAAAAGTCTGTTCAAAACTTTGGTGACAAACAAGTTAACTATTCCTGGTATCAAGAATAAACAACTTATTTTCTTTCATTGAATTACTTTTACGATTACACAAAAAACGGTTATTCAATTACTAAGATTACCCGAAATTCAATTACCACTTACCTTAAAGCTCATTTGTACATTCGGCGAATTCGCCATCGACGGCATTTGCATTGCTTTGGTATTTGTTGTTGCTGCTGCACCAGTTGTTGCTGTAGTTTTCTCGTTGTTCTGTTGTTTAGTTGTGGTCTTATTTTTTCTTTTCGTATAAGTGCGTTTGGTGCGCTTGTAACGTCTTGGCCGACAGTTGAGAAACTCAATTTCATGCTCATTCACCGCCGGCGGTGGGGGTACCGGTGCCGATACCGGCGCATAACCCATATAATCGAAAGTATTTACATTCGGCATGACATTGCCAAGATTTTGTGGTTGTAATTCTAGCTGCGGATATTGTGGTTGGTATTGTTGTGTTTGTTGCATGGTCTCGTAGATCATTGTGCTCACATCGAAGGGTGCCGGCGGTGTCACTGTTGTAATGCCACCACTGGCGTTAGCATTCTTAAAGCGGCCGGTCATTGCATTTAAATATTCCGGCATTTTTTCACTTTATTGTTTATGTCTTTTTTATTATTATTTGTTTATACTGTAGTTAGGGTAGGCAAAAAGTTTGGTGTTTTGGGATATTTTGGAATTTTGCTGTTAAGCTGTAATAAAATTTACAATTTTTGTTATAAAATTTACTCAAATATTCAAGTTTAAGACAAAAATATTGTATCGAATATCGCTAAAGTAAAAACTAATAAATATATAATTAAATTTTTATTTTCTAAAATTTTTTGTTAGAAATTTTTTATTTAATTTTTTTTAGTTAAAATTTTTGCATTACTATATTTGTTTAGGTTTTATTTTTTAATTTTTTTTTTATTAATTTTTAAGTTTTGTTTTTTAATTTTGTATACTTTTTTTAAATTTATTTTACCTGTGTAAAAGAAACAACAATTTTTTTAAGCCCAGTAAATGCCTTTTTATTTGTGAATTCATTTAATTTTTATATTATCCATCTGCATCGCATATTTTTAATTTACTTGTAATTATATTTTGTGATAAATAAATAATTCGATCTATTGTAGCCTGCTTATAGTTATCACGCAAGTAGCTCAAGCAATTTAATTGTTCAAACGCTTCTTTATCTCATTCCCCAATTCGGCTAGTGTTATCTCCTCCTCCTTGCGTGTACTCACTTCACGTAACTTCACAACGCCTTTGGACAGTTCCGAGTCACCAAATACGACTGCGAAAGGTATTTGATTTTCCTCACAGTATTGCAACTGCACTAACAACTTAGGATTAAGCTTATAAGAGTGTTCAGCCTTTATAGAAAAAACACATACATCAAATGCCAACGTAGTGCGAAATATACAGCTCTTACCTTAATGCCTTGGTCCCAGAGGCTATTTAAAATGCTCAAACGCTTTTCGTGCAAGCCTTTATGTGCCGATGCTACATATACTTCTACCTCGTTGGTCCGTGTCTTTACGCCGGCAGCAGCATTTTTGGCTTCCAATACCGAGAAGATACGTTCCACACCAATGGAGACGCCAACGCATGGCACCTGCTTGCCCTTGGGATCGAACATGCCGACCAGGTTGTCGTAACGTCCACCGCCAGCCACTGAACCGACAGCGCCTTGTTCCTCCGCAGCATCAGCACCATTCTGCACAATCTTCGGTTCGGCCTTTAGCACACACTCATAAATAACGCCGGTATAGTAGTCCAGGCCGCGTGCCAGACTCAAGTCGAAGCTAATCTTTGGCGACAAGCCCATGGCATCGCAGTACTTCAGCAGCAGCTGCATGTTTTCCAAGCCTTTCACAGCGCTAGACACAGATTTCAATTTTTCATCAGCTTGCAGCTGTGCCACAAGCTCAATGCCGCCACTCAGACGCACATATTCACCAATTTTATCAGCAGCGACCGCATCCAGCCCCTTTTCCTCAATCATTTCCTTACGCACTTCGGCCCAAGGAGACTAACAACGAATAACAAAGATATACATGAAATACATTAAAATAAAGATTTTTTTGTTTTGTTAAGCTCACCTTATCCAACTTATCTACGGCGGAGCAAATAGTGCGAAATTTATCCGCTGGTACACCACACGCCTCGAACATGCCATCTAATAATTGCCGATGATTAATTTTAATCACATATTCGCCAATGTCCAATGTATTCAGCACTTCAGAAACAATTTTCACGCACTCCGCATCTGGCAGCATGGGATCGAAGGTGCCGGCAATATCGAAATCGCATTGATAGAATTCGCGATAACGACCGCGTGTCATAGCGGGATTATCACGCCGGTATACTTTGGCGATATGGTAGCGCTTTAAAGTAGAAATTTTACTCATAGCTAGGTAACGTGCTAGGGGCACAGTCAAGTCATAGCGTAGCGACAAAATTTCGCCACCTTGATCTTTGAGATCGTAAATGAGTTTGGAATCCTCACCATACTTGCCAGTGAGCACCTCCTGTAAGTAATTACAAAATAATAAATTTATATTAAGGAAATGTTAACTAACTAACCTTCAACTCAAATACAGGCGTATCGATGGCCTCGCCACCGTGTTTCTTAAAGACCGCCACAATCTTATCCAGCACGCCCTGCCGCAACATCATCTGCTGTGGCGAATAGTCGCGCGTACCTTTGGGCGTCTTGAGCGTAAACTTCTGCGGCGTTGCGGGGCCATCGCCGAGCTTCGCTTTCAGCGCTAACAAATGCGCTACCTCTTCATCTATCTGAAAATCCAATAAAAAAAAATATAGTTTCGGTTTCACAAATCGAATACATTATTTAATGCATGTACTAAAGCTAACCTGCGCCAGTTGTTGTTCTAGCAGAGTTGCCTCTTCATCAGTCTCATTATTGCTGTTGATTGTGTGGCTTTTCTTTTTTCTATGTGAAATTTGATTTGTTGAAGCACTTTTGAATTGCCCCACCTTATGATTGGTGGCGCAGTGACGACACATTTGCTGATCTGCGGGCCCGAATTTTCGCTCGCCGCTGAACGTTGTACACACAAATGAGGACCAATTTGTTATTGGCCGACTTTTTGTATGACCAATTAAGTAAGCAGTTTGACGGCCAATCGAACGCAACATTTTTTTTATTGTCTTTAATCTTTAATAGGATTCTATAGCTTTACTGATTATCTCGTTTACAAAATTTTACTCAATATGAGTTCGAATAATCTTGTGTGAAGAATTTTTTGGTAAAGTTTTAATAAAACGCGCCGATTTGTTTAAACCTAAACAACAACAATAATGAAACTGATTAGAAATTGTCTCCGAGTGGAAAAAAAACAAACATATTCTTAGAGAAATTCGTAACTTACGATGCTATTTTTACTGTTAATAGTTGACGCGCATAAACAACAACAGAGACTATTTACAAACATATTAAGCAAAATTATTTTTTGATTAAAATTAAGGATTACTAAGCGTGAGGTTAATGAAATGAAAAAGTGTGAATGAAGATGATGTGTTATGTAAACAGATATGTATGTATGTATAATTGAAAAAGGATATATAAGGAATTAATTTACACAAATTATGGTGCGTTTAAAACCAAAAACAAAAAAAACTAATTGCGCTTAACTTTTGATATATGTATGATATCGTTTGTGCTCTTTTAAAATTCAATTGGAATTGAAATTTTGTTTTATGTGATTGCAACATTTCGTTATATGTATGTATGAGCATGTGTCAACGACGGTGTGAAAATTAATCACTGTAACACATAGTAATAATGAAATGAAAATGTTGTTATTTTAACTTACGAGACTAATTTCTACGAAGGGAGACTATTTTACATATTTTTTTATCTAAAATATTGCATTCCATCGGCCACAAATTGCTGCGTTGGAACACTTCATTATGATTGAATATTTAAAGTTATACGTTGTTTAAAATATTCTTTTTATGCGATAAAAATATAAGGAATAGTTTATAAATGTTTGTATGTATATAAACATACCTACCTGAAATATGTTTTAAATAACAAACAAAAAATAATAAACCGAGTTTTCACAGAAAATTAAGCGTTGTTTATGAATACTCATAGTATACTAATTATTAAAAAATAAGCTAAATATTGGCAAAACAACATTTTGGAAAAATTATTCCACAAGAGTAGTATAATTTAAAGAAATAATGAATGTTATATTCAGGAAGGAAATATATATAGATACACATACATGCATACCCACATATGTATGTATTTATGAATGCTTACATATTTTGGCATTTAATTATCTTAACTTAGTGTATAGTGATCTGCTGACAAAGATATGTACATTACACTAGAATCTATAGATGCATACATATATACATATTGTATATGTGAAAATTCATATGCAACCCAATAAGACTAAAATCCAGGTTAGTAGAAGAATAAGATGCCACTCGGTCAAAGTGCTTATGCATTTCTATATTGTAAGGTGTTGCGAACATCATAACCAATCCAGAATTGCAGTGCACTCTCACATTCAAGTTCAAAAAAATATACTATATAATTAATTGACGCAAAAATCAAAATCCAGTTTAGGAGGCATGAAACAAGTTGAGTTTGTAAACTATGGCTGATCGCGGCAAGCCCCTAAAAATTAATACCCACGATACCGTTACACGTAACCGCCGTTCTCATATAAACGATATTACTTTTGCTTGCAGATCATAATATGGATGTGTGTGTACATTTTTCTTTAACAAAACATAAAAATGATATTAGTGCTTTTGAACACTAGAAATCGGTCCATGCCACTGCATTCAAATAGTATATACAAGGTGCCTCAGCAATAACAATAGTCATTACTTATTTTAGTTGCTGGCCAATTCGATTCGAAAGTGAATGTTTGACGAAAATCTGCCAGCAATACAGACTAACATTGTGTATTTTGTGGTAATTTTAGGTAACCAGGCAAGCAGTCTGCATAGCTAAGGCGCAGCAGTCAAAGCTTTCCTCCCCCCCCACGAAACACTCTATTACATTCATTATTAATTATGGTAGACGCGAGTCAATGCTGCTGCAGCAATGAATCACCCGAAGACAGTAGATACCCTGTCAAAACCTAACAACACCAACAACAGTAAGGCGAAGAGTGTTTTTGGTTTGAAGGTTTTTGCAAGACATTCTAATTATCTGATGAAATCTCTAAAATAATTAACGAATATTTTTTAATTTAGAAATGTGTACCAACTATTATTATATACACTTACTTTTAAATATATATATATACATATACATAATGCGTGATGGAGTATTTTGTTTTAGTAACTTGACTTAAATATGGGTTCAAGAATAAGAAAATGATAACAAATAGAACACCAATATGAATTGAGTCTCGGGAAAACAGCTGCAGTGATGAGCTTACCTTTTCTTTGGTTTCCTTGGCTGCTTTAAGTTTTCTAACTAAATCGCCTTGAATTTTAATTTCTTCGAGTATCTGTTCACGCGTCTCACTCATTCTATTCCACACAGGTTTTAGTTTTTTCTAATTCACAATTTTAATGTATATTGTTTTTTTTTATAGATGCAGTCCCGTTTTAATTCGTTTGATGCAAATTATTTCTCACTTCAAACTTACACTCACTTTTCACACTACTCTACTTATAGAAATAGTCTAATGCTATTTGGATTATTTCATTCAATATTCACTTATTTTATTTATATAAAATAATGCAAGAAAATGTATTACCAAGCACAAAACGCACACGCGGTGGAAAATGCAAGTTGAACGAATACGTTGCTGTTGCGGAAAAGGTAAACTACTTGACAGTTCGTTTTGACATTTCTTTTGTCGACTGTCCTCGCAAATAAACTGAGTGTTGCCCAATTGTATGCATTTAGCAATAAATAGACAAAAGTTCAAAAATTAGGCCGAACTTCCAACAGATTTCGTTTGATGGTAAAGAAATTTGGACAGCAACTTATTTTAAATAAACTGGCGCTCCCACGGCAATTGGGTATATAACAAGTTCCAACTAGAAGAAAACCAACTAGTGATTTACAAAAACAACGCACCCCTTAGAAATTGAGGCATAATTATATGCTTAACAAAGTTAGCAGCAATTGATGCTGTCACTTTGTCGATTAATATATGTAAATGTATATTCCCGTCCCTTGTTATGAGTGTGCGTACGATCACCCAATGGGCTAAATGACAATAATGATGAAAAAATAACGTTTTTCGTTTAATAATTGGAAAATTTTATTTTTCACTTTTAAGAGTTGTATTTACGTATATAATACAAATAACCTTTAAGCGAAAATCTATAATAACCGTACATATGTAAATGTTTATGTACAGTAATATATAAAAATATTGTGGCTAGATTAGACTAATTGAAAGCAAAGCATTTCTCACAATAAAAACAAATAAAAATTTTAACAAAGTTTGTGTAAATTGGGGAAAGCAGTAAAAACAACCAATCAACCGAATGTAATTTAAATTGTAGTTACATAATAATTAATGATATTGCGAATTATTTACGAAGTATCCAAGTACATTTTATGCGTTAACTTATAGTTTTCGCTTTTTCGCCAACATCTTTCGACGTTTTTCGATCGCCTCCAATTTCATGTCCTCCAAGTCTTCTTGTATTCCTATTTTTTTACTAATATATTCCTCACGCTGCACTTGCGCAAAGTTGGATTCCATAGCAGCATCATCATCATCATCTAAATCACGATACCTACACACAAACAAAGAAAACAAAATTTGCTTAACTCTTTTACAACAACAACGTATAACAATTGAATTTCTTGTAGCAATGTTCTATTTACGTACTTTTGTTTATCATAGCCAAAGATAGCGCGAATATGTGATGAAACATCTTCTACTTCGTCACCATCGTCAATAAAGTCGTCCATCTCTGAGTCGTATTCCGAATCATCATCTTCAATACGCAGTCCTATTAAAAGAAAATAACATTTATTTTTAGTCTGCATTGTGTTATATTATATATATTGAAGCTTACTTTTATTTGGTTGTGGCTTCTTTGTTTCCCTGCCGCGATTGCGCTGCACATCAGACGGTGGAAACTGCCGCGTCTTTTGTACGTCTGGGGGAGGAAACTGACGCGGTTTCACAGATTTCATATCATGGGGTGGAAACTCGCGAGTTGCACCATTATATGGATTCTTACTCGTCGAACTGCCATAAGGATTCTTACTGCTGCTGCTGCTGCTGGTTGAGGCACTGGTACCCGATTTTGTACTAACTGACGAAGGTTTATATGCAGCGGAATGAGATTGTTTGGCACTTGATGAAGAAATAGCTGAGGCGGATGTACTCTTCGCATGTGAACTCAATGTGCCCTTTTGTGATGATATTGAAGTCGATGCGGAGGAAGGATGTTGCTTTTTAATACCATTAGTCCCGCTAACAATAGTCGAAGACTTAACAGCCGAACTTTTATTATATGAGGATTGTGCTGTCGTTGTAGGCGTAGACTTGGTTTGGTTTAATTTTGGGATACGTCCATTTGGTTCCATGCGATTGGGCGCACTCGACGTCGCCGTACCGTTTTCTCGGCGTTCCTTTCCCGAACTGGCTCCAAGTGTGCGTTCCTTTTCTCGTTCTCGATCTCTGCGTTCACGTGCTTCCTTAGCACGCTGTCGCTCCTCCATTTCCTTCTTCTCCTTCATTGTCAACAAACGTTCTGGCTCTTTTTTCTTAACAACTGGCACTATTTCAACCGGTTCATGCTGTTTTTGCTCAGCTAATTTTAGTAAAGCTTTAAAGTCCATTGGAGGTGGTGGTGGTTTACGATTCTTTTTACGATTTTGTTCCTCTTCTCGTTTTTTTCGTTCCTCTTCACGCCGTTCCGCCTCAGGATCATAAAGAGGTTTGGAAGAACTTGATCGACTTATACTGGGTTCCTTAATACTGCTACTTAAACTATTGCTACCATGCGCTATTCTTTGCCCTTTAAGACCTCTTTTTTCTTCAATTTCACGTGTAATGGCAGCTTTTACCCGTTCCTTTGTCCCTGATAGGTCTCTTAGCGATTGAGGTCTACTTGGTGCAAAGCCTTTGTCCTCTTTTACGTCTTTCACCTATATAAATGTAAGATGATTTTGGTACAAAAAACAGTTATTATTAATAGATATACAACACATACCTTTTCTATATATTTTGCATAAAAAGCATTTGCTTCGGTTGAAACGTATCCATAATCATCCTGATCGGGCTGGTCAGGTCCGGACATCGTAACAGCTGTATGATCTGTATTTATTGCATCGTCCAACACCGATTTATTGGCAGATTTTGTGACTTTTAGCATTTTTCTTATCTTATTTTTTGATTTCTCATCTCGCATTGCCAATAAGTTAGCTAGCTTTTGTTGTTTTTCTTTTTCTCGTTCACGCTCCTCCTGCTCACGTTTTTGTAAAAACTTTTGTATGTTCGCCGAAAGTTTTTTCTCCTTTGATTCTTTTTTCGGTGGAGCGAATTTGGTGCTGTAATATTTACCCTAGACAATGCAAATATATTTATTTAGTTCCACAAAGTATACGATTGATAAGTGATAATATAGACAATGGAGTTAAGCAGAAGACAGTTTAATTAGCAATGCACTTATTTAGAAGTTAAACAATCCACCAATCACTCAGAGTCTTATCATGTATGCACCAGGGTAAGTAAACAAGTAAAAACATTGGTACTGATGTTTTTAATGGAATTTATTTTCGAGATTATAATTTGTACTAATTGTTCCTAAGTAATAACACATGATCCTGCCACGTATTATTCCTTATTTAATTGCTTAAATTTGGGTGGTATTGAACCCACTGAACAGCTGTTGACCGTATTCTTACCTCATTTTTACTGTTTTCACTATTTTTCTTTGCCACATGCAGCAAAGTTCCGAAATCCATTTTGAATAAATTCCTATAGAGATTTAGATTATATTTTCTTTTTAAATGGGCTTAATACTAAGCATTTGCATGTATATTAAAAATGTCGCGTTACTCTTACTATTTTGAAAAATTCGAGAACATGAAATATGAGCTAATTTTTTATGAAGACTGATAGAAAATGACCCTTGCTGACAGATATATATTGCGATCCGATAAATAGTTGCAAAAAATACCCCAGGGATGATTTTTATAGGCTTGCCAGATGTAAGAAAATTTAAATTTAGTAGAAATAATTTAGTAGAAATTTAAATTTTCTCAAAATTCACCATGATGACAAGTCTCTTTGTAACAAACATTTTTTAATTTTTCTTTTATTTTTATATTTGTCGTTTATTAAAAGTTTGGCGTTATTTTTCGCTGTTTTCAGAGAGATAAATAATGTAATTTAAAGCTTTACTATGTTTACATAAAACTCATCAAAACTCGAAAAAGTCTTTTAGTATTTAAAATCGAACTTCAACTTATTTTTTTATATTTGTACTGATAAATATATGTACCATTTTGGTCATCCATTTTTTGCCATTTTCCAAAAGTGTAAATCAACATTTCTAGAACGGAAGCAAGTGAACTATTTTGTGCTACAAGAACTGATACTCCGTAAACTTCACAAATTTCATTGTTGGCTTGCATGGCATTCTTCCCTTCATGTTATAAAAATTTCAAAATATAGCGCATTTCTTCATTATTTTCACAAATTTTTTATCAGCTGTAAATTTTTTTAGCTTCCCCCAATTTAATTTATTTCGTTAATTTAAGCTTAAAATGTTACTTTTCCAACACTGGAGATATAGTACTTGAACGTGAAAAGACGTTTTGGACTACCTAATATATGTATGTTATATTAATAAATATTACAAATAATAACAATATTATTATTATTGTTATCAATTAATTGAAATTGATATTATTATTTAAAAGAGAGATTTGAGCGTTTCCAGAAAATAACTTAATTTAATTGAATTTAAAGGTTTTACTGTGTTTCCTTACAATTTCCCAAGGTTCTGGAATTTTTTATTGTAGATGATTAAAAACATATTAATCCTTTCATTTCTAATTTATATCACTATAGTACCTGAATATGTTTTAAATTGCAAACAAATTTAGCTGAATAAAAAAATTATAAAAAAAAAACTAATAACGTTTTGAATGTTAAATATATAATTTTTATTCTACCTACGGCAACTCTGGTTCTATTTCTCTTTGCTATAGAAAAATGTCTCTTTTAAACTCTTTGATAACTCCAAACTGGGGAGCCTATTTTTTTATCTTTAGTGGCAACTCCAAGGAGCGATTTCTTTTCTTTCTTTCGTATTATTCATCATTGTCTCCTAAAAATTCCGGAAATTCCTTCTTGGATTCCGTCATCTTTTTATTAAATACATCGTAGTTCATTTCATAATCAATCATAAATTTATGAGGTACTAAATTGAATTTGTTTGTGTGGAACCGGTGTATTGAGGTAAATACTTTGACTAAGCACAGCACAACAAAGCAAATCGAACTTCAGAGTTTAATCGATGGCTGGTCAACGCCGCAATGAAAACCTCAGTGAAGCAATGCAACGTTTACAAATGGGGGAGGATAAAAGTACGCTTAACTCACCCAAGTACCCAGCAGTAGCAAATTATATACGACAGCATGCAGGCAACACTCCTATGCAACAACAATCTGCAGAGGAGTATAAGTTATATGAGCGCACAAATATAATTGCTTCTTCTAAGTATGCCACACCCCGTCCAATTGAGCAGTTGGCAGCTGATGCGAATATAAACAATGTTCCAATTTCCCAACCAGTGTCCAATGGTATCGGTCCGTCAGAAGGCAATAGTCCTCTATATACTGGACGCAATGTCATGTATGAAAAAAAGTTATCAACGAAACAATCTCCAGTATACGAAAATCTCGAATTTTGCGGCGGCGCGGTTGGTATTCCAATTGAGTCGTACTTCGAATCTACACATAAACGCGCACAACCTCAAAGTCCCACAGCAAATCCATCGCGCGGTCAATATATGATAATGCATGCAAGCACCAGTGGTGGGCGGTTTGCTCATACGCCAGTACCGGAACATCATGCGGATACGGCGCCTATCTATGAAAATATTATACCACATTCCGGACAACGTGCCCAGCCACAAGCCTCACCGGCGACTGCCACTATTTATCAACATGCAGAGATATCACCACAACTAAGCGGTGCTGGTAATGGTGCATTAACGCCACTAGCGCCACATCATATGCGCGAAAATTCTGGACTGGATATGTCGGTAGTCTTGGCATCTCCTATGCATCGGCGTAGTACATCAAATTCTTCATTAAAAACTGCAGCGTCCAATAGTACTGCCGCTGCTACTGCTGGTGGTAGCGGTTTATCATCGCCAACACAGCGTTATCGCAACCTTTCCTTGCCCAGTCACCCTAACAGTATACAAACATCGCCTGCAAAATCGTTGGCTTCTAGTACAGCTAGCAGTAACGATTACAAGCTGTTGCAGCACACACCAATCAAAAATACGGTAAATAAACTGAAAATGTCATAACTTTTGTTTTTATTATAATTGTTTTCTTATCCCTTTCTTTTTGGAACAGCATCACATTCCCACACATCACCCCATCATCAATGTGTCTGTTAATCCGAATTACATTGAAGAAATCAACAGTTCCGATTATGTTTGCATGACAGCTAACTTGCACCGCCAGCCAGCTAGAAGCCCTACAGCAGGCGTACAACCCCTACGCTCAAATACAACTGCGCTCGCTTCAAGCAGTAGTGGTTACCGCAAGTTGTGTAATGAGTCGCCCGTTTATGTGGGCAGCAGTAGTGGTGGTGGTGAGCTAGATAAACAATCTACATTGACTGGTGCACGCAAAATTTCGCCAATGAACGAACGTAAATTCACACAATCGCCACTTGCTATACCGCAGCGTCCTTTGTCATCGGGTGGCGCTGCGGCATCATCCATTTCACCAACACCATCTCAAAATAGTACTGGTAGGACATCGTCTTACTACTTACGTCTGTGGATAAGTAACACAAGTTATTTCTTTACCTTATAGGGCTCTCCAAAAATCTGCTACCGTATAGCGTGACACCACCACGTCCTACCGGTCCCACCGAAGCGCAGCGCAAAATCGAAGAACTCACACGACAACTAGAGGAGGAAATAGAACAAAGCGAAGAGCAGGGCGAGTATTTTGGTAAGTTATTGCATGCATGTTGTTGTTATCTACAACTTTATTTTGCCGTTTCTTCCTATTTACAGGTATTTGTCATACGTGCGGCGATAAAGTGAAGGGTGCTGGTCAGGCTTGTCAGGCTATGGGCAATTTGTATCACACGAATTGCTTTATTTGTTGCTCTTGCGGACGTGCGTTGCGCGGTAAAGCATTTTATAATGTGCATGGACGCGTTTACTGTGAGGAAGACTATATGGTAAGGATAATCCTATATTTATTTTCTGTTTGAGTCGTCAATATACATATGTATATCATTCTTTTTTTAGTATTCGGGTTTCCAGCAAACAGCAGAAAAGTGTGCAATATGCGGACATTTAATAATGGAGATGGTACGTCGCTCGTTCATCTTTATAGTATTTTTAATACATTTATATATATTAATATCTAAATCACAGATACTGCAAGCGATGGGAAAATCTTATCACCCCGGCTGCTTTCGCTGTTGCATCTGCAATGAATGCCTAGATGGTGTACCCTTTACGGTGGATGTGGATCATAAAATTTACTGTGTAAATGACTATCATCGCATGTTTGCGCCAAAATGTGCTAGTTGTGGCAAAGGTAGTAATTTGTTGTTAATTTTCTTTTAAGTAAATTTTAAGATACAATTGCTGCTTTCCAGGCATAACACCTGTAGAGGGAACTGATGAAACTGTACGCGTTGTCTCCATGGATAAGGACTTTCATGTGGATTGCTACATCTGTGAAGAGTGTGGCATGCAGTTGACCGATGAGCCCGACAAGCGTTGCTATCCTTTAGATGGACGCCTATTATGTCGTTCATGCCACTTGCAATGCTTGGCCATGCAGCAATCTTCGCCACACGTCCGACATCAGGAACCCGTGTGCGCATCATATCAATACATGGGTTAAAGACAAACAAAAATTTGAGTGCTCAAATGCGTATTTATACATAATTTACTCATATTATGCATTCCTAATATTATACGCGAATTGAAGGATCAAAAATTAGTACATAAGTCCTACAGTTGAACGCACAATTTTTTTTACTATAAAGTAACAGGAATTTTCAAATCTATGGCTTTTGAAAATAATATTTAATGTTCATGAAAAAAACACTCTGCATACAGAGAACTTTAGTGTGACAAACAGTGTTATGCAACAACATAAACAGTTAATAATCAAAAAAAAAAAAAAAAATATTCATACAACTGTCTAATGTGTACTCTTTACATACATGCAATACGCAATTGTGGAATTTATCGTATTAGTGGTTTTGGATGCGCTTTGTAATGCTCACGCAACTGCATTTACATACTTAACTCATATATGTATGCATATTACATAATGAAATAAAGGATCACGACGTTGCATTTAAATATATAAATTAAAATCTATGCAGTTTTTAACTTTTATTGAGTGTAAAATGTTTTTTTTTTTTTATTCTTAATTCTTAAAGACCTAAAAGCAAGCGTACTTTGTAAATTCAGTGCATTAATATTTCCGTTTGTACAAGACGTTTGTTTGTGTCGCCTGGCATGCGATATGGTACTGTGGCAGCCATATTTGTGATAGCCTTCGCCTTTTCACGTAAATGCTGAAGTTGCTGCAAAAAAAGAAAGTAAATTAATAAATCACTTCAAGGTTATTATATTCAATTAGACTTACGCGATCACGTCCTGTATCAACAATGCCAGTATCACGTCCTTTCACACTTTTATACTGAGCATATAGAATATCCATTGCCGCCAATAATATATCAGGATACACCTTACAAATCTCACCACCCAAACGCTTGAAATTATTTATGCATTCCTCCAATTCGCTCATAGACAATGGCACGAGTTTGGTGTTGGCGAGTACCTCTAAAGCCAATTGGTATTTTTGCTCGTGGTAGTAATCGAAGAATGACACCAGTTCACATAGCAAATTGAAGGTGGAAATAACCTGTGGATCGCATTCAATGCGATTGCCTGTAAGAGAAAATAAAAGGAAATTATTTGTGAAAAAAAAACAATAAATTAAATAATGTTAGCTTTACCGCGCATTCTTTCTCTGAAATCAGCCGCCATAATTGTCAGACGTTCACGCAACGAATCCTTTTTAGAACTTTGATGTACAACCTGGGACAACAGTATGGCTAGGTAGCGCAAAGATTGATTTTGCATCTATGGAAGGATATGGAAACATCTTTGAAATTTAATAATCTCAATTGAAATATAATTATGGCTTACGCTAGCAATATCAAATAATTTGATGGCATCCTCGAACATGCCCTTATTCACCAGCTCCTCTGCAGCCATGCCAGCTGCAGTGCGCGTATCAAATTCCACACAATTGAATTGCTCAAACAGACCGCTAATTAAATTGAAAAGCGAGATGATTAAATAGTAGTAATATAAATATGATATACAATTTACCCCGACATAATGCCATTTGGTTGCATTTTACCAAATATCAAGTCATAATTGCGACATTCAATGGCCAAATCACTGACACAAACCAAAAATAAATTGCGTCCTTCCGGGTCTTTCAGATTACGCAGGAAAAAGTAGTACTGCAGCGCTTCTGCGGGGTCGGTTACCTCAAATTTTTTCACATACAACATAATCAAACGGGCGATATTCAAGCGACGCATCGGCATTGGGTCTTCAATGTCGACAGACACTATAAATAAGAGCAAAACAGTATGCTGGAAACTTCTTAATTTTTTTTTTTTTTTATTTACTATTTACTTACGTAACGGCTCTTGGACATTGCGCGGTCCACCGATGAGAAACATTTCGTTCAGAGCAAGTGCAATGTGCACAGCATGAGTGCGATATTGCTCGGTACGCGCTAAAAATTCAATGGCTGCCTCAAATTGTCCGGTTAAAGCAAGCACTTGGAAGTAAAGATGACGTTGTTCACTCGCGTTAAAATGCTTCTCACCATATTTTTCAAGTATCATTGTTTGCAGGCCCGAGTAAGTAAGCACTTCGGCATTGTCATGGGATTCGGGGCGTAGTAAGGACAGTTGAATCCATAAGAAGTCATCGGTGGTTTTCGCAACTTCCAAGTGTTGTTCATTTATGTCGCAACCAGCTATTATGCAGTAAACCTGAAAAAATATAAATGCAAGGTAACTACTGAATTGACTAATTACAACAAATTAACTTTATTGTACTTACCGCCTTTTTGTATGGATCAGTGGAATTCTTTATTTTATTACAATAATGTAATTTGAGCTGTCCTTCCAATTTGGAATTTATCTTCTGCTCTGGCTTGTTTATTTTGTCTTCAAGCACTTGTATAAAATCCTCGTGGCCGGCACTAAACGATTAGATATAAAAAATTCAATAAAATTAATTAAAATATAAAATAAAATAAAATTACCCGCCCATTTGCATGCAACGTAACGCAGATTGCACATCACCGCATCGCAGACAGTAATACACCATTGGCCAAAGTGGTTTATTATCAATACTTGCATCTTGTAAACCAAAGCAGTTCGATTGGTTGAACGTCAGGCCCACAAAAGACGATACCAAATTAAAAGTGCTAGGCACACCACCTCGTTGCGCTTCACGCAAATTACTACTGATGATTGTTGACATGTATAATTTGTACCTGCAAGGCCAACGTTATAAATAAAACTTAATAAAACTTATAAGAAATACTTTGTTATCTTAATCGATGATTACCTATTCTCCAAATATTTTTTTGCTTGATCAATGAATTGTGTAATTTGTGTGCGATTTTGTATGGGGTCACGATTTCGCGAAACTGGTGCTATATTGACCATATACTTCATAATTTCCCATATTTCGGTAACTTTTTGATCTTCAAAACTTTCCGCAACCTTGGCAAATTTCTGTATGAGATTAGGTCGAAATGCACCTTTAATGATGGCCGTATTATATTCGTAGACCTCACGTGCATATGCCATTTCCTGTAAATAAAAACAAAGATTTGTTGAAAGCTTTAAATTAATTGCTGTTACATTTCGACATTAGTACATACAATTCGATTGAGGCACGAACGAGAGCCAAAAGTTTCGTTCAGCACTGTTTGCTCTGGCAATTTTTGTATGTCAATCCAATTCTGCGAGGGTCCAATCAATGAATTAAGCAATTTTACTTTCTCTTGCTGCCATTCGTTGCGGACACACTCCCACCGTCGTTTTTCTGCAGCCTCAAATGTCTGTTTGTACAATATTAAATGCTTTAAATGAAATGATTGCTCATATGTAAAAAAAAAATCCATTACTCACACTTCTATTAACTTCCTCAATCATAGACAATATTGCATTTTCCTTTTCGTTTTTTAAAAAACTACGAACGTCGGTGTCTGCAATAGGGTCTAGCGGTTCAAAGGTTTTCCGAGCATTTAATGCTTCTAATTTTTGCGAAATTTTCGGTAGATCAATGCCCTTAGAGCCGAGTAAGATATGCCTGAAAATTTCGATAATGTCTTACTAACAACATTTATGGACGGATAATAATTGAGACTTACGCTTGTATGTCCTGTGCGCCTGTTTGAGTTACACGTGAGTGCAATTCCTGAGTCGCTTGCAAAACTTGCGAAATCGTACGCTCAACACGCGGCAACTCCTCAGAGTTCTGTGTCTCATTGGTCAAGCGCTGTGCTTGTTGCAGCAATGAATTAAAATCCATTTTGCTTTATGAATACAGCTGCGGTTATTAGGAAAAAATTTATTTAACTTTTAATTTACAAACTACAAACAAAACTATCCTAAAGATTTTGCAGTTTTTGGCGGCAGTGACTTTGTGACGGCTACAGCTGTACGTCACATAGATTGGTGATGCCATTTAAAATTTTAATATCAATACATATGCATACACTGTTTTTTCTGAAATAACCAGCCGCTTTACGAAATAGCACAATAACCTTGGCTATTCTTAAAAGTTTAATTCTTTTTTTTTTTTTATATAAATGTACGTTCTCTATCAATTCCGAATGGAAGTGCGCTTGCAAATTACATCATCTTTTATTTTTAATCCGGTAACATCGTACATTTTAAAGAGATCTAAGATCAACAAAGAGTATAAGTAGCAGCAACATATCCTTCTGAAATCTCTTAACTGAGCAGAGCTAAAAATTTAACAAGAATTTTTTATATAAAAATGTTCATATTTCAAATTAATTAGCGTAAAAAAAAACAATATTAATATTCTTCCTTATAATTTTGCAGTACTTTATTAAAAAAATATTTTTTTTTATATCAAAGATGAATACATATATACCATTCCAATAATATTCCAAAATTTTCAAAGTAACGGACTGTTTCGGGCACTGGGTATTAACATGCTAGTACTACAAAATTTTTAAATGGTGTTGCATTCGCAATTGAACTTCATGCTTTATAATTAGTTCCATGCTCCTGATATAACTTCACATATTTGCAATGACTGCATCTTTACTGAATTGTATTGTAAATTATTCGAGTTATATGACACTTGAATAGACGTACTACATTGTAGATTAATTATTCGAGTAAAATTTATAATTTTAGCTTAGTGTTAAGATTAATTGGCCGCATTTGAAGCTCGGGTAATTGCATCAAGCCACATGAAGTATTGTATGTATGTATATTATGTTTAATAAATAAAGCATTGGTATAAAATCCGCCATATGTTTAAAAATCTGCAGGTCACATAATACTTATCATTCTCAATTGTGCTTAATTCCTTCAGTTGCCAAAATATTACATCTGCGCATTTCTAATACCAGACTACAAGCACTATACATATATGGTATATATTTCGTGATGTTGAATTGTGAGATTCTTAAAGAATTTTAAAAGTTAGTTTCATTAAAATTTTTCGATTGCAATAAGGCTGCAGCAGTTGAAGTAGAAGCGTTCACTTCCTCACTTTTGCTACTGCCATCATCATTAGTACTACTATTACGTCCAATTCCTACTGTATAAGCCACTACGGTAGCATGATCCAACTTTCCCGGCAGAGCAGCGAAAGCACTACTGTCTACGACACGTTTTCGTGCCGCGCGATGCTGCATGCGATTGAGTTCAACTTCACGTTTAATGCCATCAGGACCCGTTGATAATTTGTAAAATAGTTCACGTTGTTCCAGTGTTTTCCTACGGGCTGATGTGATCATACGAGCAAAATCAATTAATAAATGGCACAGTCGACGAGCTGATGTACAAGGCGAAAATGTTCCATTTATGCCAAAACTCAGCAGATCTTCTAGACGGTAGAGTGTGAGAGCATGTCTTTGCGGTCCAGTCACTAAGGGTAGACCCGAAATAGATTTTGGTATCTTTGGTAAAATGTTGGGAGCAATATGCTGTTGCCTTCCAGCAGAGGGTCCAGTCGTGGAAAGACGTCTTGGTTCTATCACAGTATGCGAACGCATATATTTTGGTCGACTTGGTGCACTAGCTGCAGTACTTACATTAACTACTTCCGGTGAGGGTGATTTTTTGGTGCGCGGTGGCCGCGTTGGTACATTAGTTGGAGATGTTGGCAGTGATTCAGTTTCGCTCCTAGATGGGTTGTGATGTACATGATGTAAACGTGCATAAATAGATGAAGCACTTTTATTTTGTCTTTTTGGTGCTAAATGATGTTGCCCTTGTGATTTACTACTTGGCATAAGTTTTACGTCTGGTGTCCACGCTTCAGCAAATTTCCCTACAACCGGGTCGAAATTGTCGCTAATTCCATCTGACGTTAAAAATACAATATCACCCTTTTCAATGATCGTCATTGATAAAGTTAAGTTACCAAGTTCCGGTTTATTACCATCGGCAGGACCTAGTGCGCCCAATGCATCGCGCATGTCGCGCATTGATGTTATATCATGTGATGCTTGTGTAAACTCACGGACGCCATATTTTTTCGAATATACATATCCCAATGAATCACCCACATTGCATGCGCATACAACGTATTTACCTTCATCAGCTAGCGGTAGTATCACGGCTATTGTCAATGTACTTAGAGAACCACCCACTTCGAGTATGCAGCCGTGACCTTCCCACAAACTTCGTAGGAGACTTACAAATACCTCTGTTGTCGACGCTGCCATACACTCTCGTGCGAGTCCGAAAATAGCACGATCCAAATAGTCAAGGCAACCATGCACAGCCGAACGTGCAGCTAAGCGCGCACCATCACCCCAATTAACTCCGTCAGCAAGCGCCATAGCCGCTGCATCTCCACGTACAACTATACCATAGCAATCAGCTATAGGACTGCCCATAGGCTCCTTTGTTAACATGTTGTTTTCATAGAGTGATACGGAAATTCCATACGCATAATCAGTTTCCATGCGCCAATCAGTTACACCAGCAATAGCATCTGCCATAAAGTTATTGATTTCCTTGTAACTGGTTACGTCACTTTGATTTGAAACCGCTTCACGAAGTAATCGTTCTGTCGTATTATCTAATATAACCTTTGTGGAACTATCAACTTCTGTGGAAGTGTCCTTGGTATCATTTTCTTTGGAATCCTTAATATCAACAGATGCTGATAATGTATTTGTTTTTGTTTTATTCTCCTTCGGAGACGAATTTAATATATTTTTGTTGTTTTGATCATTTGCTGCTTCATTGGTGGTAAATTTTGTGCTCACTAAGCTCACAACAATCGTTGTGGACTTGTTTGCGTTTTCCGTGATTTTCTTGTCATCGGCTTTTGTTAATGGTGGTTTTGGTGATGTATCAGATACCTTTGATGTGTTTAAATCGCTATGTATGTTTTCTGAATGGTTTGGAATTTTATTGGAATTTGTAATACTAGTCCTGGAATTTTTGCGTGAACGCATACCTGATGGCTTATTTGCATTCTGATCGTTGTTTGATGTGACGGCACTATTACTTAATTTACGTGGTGCACCACCATAACGATTGAATTTGTTTTGATTTCGGTTATTAGTGGCAATACTTTTTCGAATCTCGAAGCAGTCATTTTCCTGAGTAGTATCAATGAAATCAATATCGTCTGCGTAACTTGCACTTAAATGCAATTTTGAGCGCTTAATGCCAGTAAGGCCTTCATCAGGACCTGTACTGGCGGCAGTTATATTGGTGGGACCAGTCGCATAGACACCAATTTTAAGATCTGGCAGGTCACTTGGATTTTGCCCATTTGAAATTTGCGGTCCAGGGATAAACTGACGTTCCATGCGTCCTTCTAAATATTTAACTATAAAATTTCCGTCATCTGAAGTTTTATGAACTCCTCTAGGGCTATCGCGAGGTTCAGCAATAAAACTTAATTGACGGAAATATGTTGTGACCTTTTGCCGTAGAGAGGGCATCTTTATGTTTCTTAATTTACCGTTTTACTTTCAATTACTCCGTATTAAGTTTGTAAGCGACTACTTAGGCGAAAAATTATAATTGGGCTGAGATCAATTTAACGTCATTGCACTCTCACTAATTACTACAATTAAGAAAACAAATGCGTCAACGGGGGTTGGTGATATTCGAAAGTCTTTTGTCTGAATAGCTGTTATGCCCCATATGATAATTACGACTGTAAGAAGGAGTTCGTTATTATATTCAATCGTTACATATATGTATATATATAAGTTATACCTGATTTGTATATGTGCATAAAGAAGAGACAAAGGTTTGATTCATTCGCAAGGCCAAGTTTTATTTTCTTTGTAAAACATTGTTTTCGAATTTCCAACGTAGTGGGCGGAGTATTTCATCTGAATATTATGTTTTATTATGAAACCATAATGTTCAAATTGCTGGAAAGACATCGGATATTAATTCATACTCACTGATTAAAAATTTGTTTCCAAAAATAGGTTTACATTCTATTAATAATTTATTTTCAATTACTTTATTATCGATTGTTTTTACTAACTCACTATACGACCAGCTTATTATGAATAAACTGACTTCCGACAGCGTTGCCGTTTCACTGTAATTTTTATTGTCGATATATATCTGACGGGATTTACACTACATAATAACATACAATTTATTAAAAAAAAAAACTCTGAAATGAATTTTGTAAATATTCTTCAGGAACAGCTGTTAACTCCCTTGTTCTGATACTGTCGCATTCGAGGAATCCCTAAAATAACATATGACAACCGCCAGCTTTGTTATATCAGTTGAAAATATCAGATAATTTTAAATTTTATGTTGATTTTCCGACTAATTTTACTGCCAACAATAACTTAGTTATGCCTAAAACAACATAAGAAACTTCAAATCTTCATTTAGAATTGTTTGCTTCCAACATTTGTTTTAAAAAATAAGTTCGAAGTCAGCTTTCGTATAAGTTCGAAGCAAAAGTTGTATGTGAATCAGCTATTATTGTTTATAATTCCATTTGAAATCAAAAATGGTAAGTCTGGCAGCTCGTGCAGTATCAATAATTTTCACTTGTGTTAAATTTGTGTGCCGGTTTTAGAATTCGAGAAAATTTTGCTTGTTATAATAGAACATAGATTTTAATTTATTGATAAACGATTTTCAAAGTTTTACCCTTTAACAATGGCTGATTTGAAATCTGTTTTCCATGAATGGTGCTCAAAAAATAAAGTAGAACCTAAATTTGAGGTTCGTCCGACTGGTAAGAGTGCATAATTGCATTGGCGTAGAGAATCGATTTGTAACTCCATATATTAAACATATTTAAAGGTCCAAAACATCGCCAAAGATTTTTGTGTGAAGTACGAGTGCCGAATTACCCCTACGTGGCGGCAGGTAATTCTACGAACAAAAAAGATGCAGAACGCAATGCAGCTCGTGATTTCATGAGTTTTTTGGTACGTACCGGTAAAGTAAATGCGTCTGATATACCTGCAGACGCAGGAATGGCAGCTATAGCACCTGCAACCAACGCCGATGGGAGTGGGGATAGATATGGTTCGCAACGCAAATTCTTTGATGGTGGGATGGGACCTCAAGACTTGGGTCAGGCTTATCAACCCATAGAGCGTGAGATAAATCCAGTGGATAGAGCACGTGAACAATTGGAAATGAAAGAAGCGGAGTCAGTAGATGTAAATGCAGCCATACATGGTAATTGGACCATCGAGAATGCAAAAGCAAAGCTTCATCAATTCATGCAGATGAATAAAATAACGGCGGATTATAAGTATACGCCTGTTGGCCCAGATCATGCCAGGTAAAATTTTGATTATTTGATATAAAATACATATTCATTACAATATGTATGTATATTCATTTAAATTGATTTATTTTTAAGTGAGCTCATCTCTTCGATTTTAAATCTATAAATCAAAGAGGAAAGCTTCTAATATTTATGTAGTACCTGTGGCAAAATGAAGGCTGGGTGAAATATAGTAACTGCAATTGAAACCAAAAGTGATCAAAACTTTTACATATGTGTGGCAATGTGTGATAATTTGCAAATATATGGTTTTAGTTGGTTGTATGAGACGAGTATTTTCAACCATATTTCAGTTGAAAGTTTTCGCCTATGTTTATTAATAAAAATGTTACATAAAATAATTAATTGGTATCATGGCTATGTACAATTTGTCAAAAAAGAGTTTGCAAACAATTAGTTTATGATGTAAATATAAAGCAGATTAACTACCAATTTTTTTAGTCAGTATATTCAGTTAATGTATTTTTATTATAAAAACTGTATACCTTTGTATTTTATCAACAACTTTTTGACATACTGTATTCAGGACATTACTATATTAGATACTTTTTCTGAGTTGCGAAAAGAAAATGTAAATAAATATATTTATGTCCAAAGTATGTAATAGTATAGTATGTATAGCAATATGAAAACTCTAAATGCTTTTATACCAATGTGATTTATCCTGTATGATTTTTTATAATCCAGTAGCTTTGGGTATATTAAATTTGCAAAGTAACGCACAGTGTCACAATACTTAAAAGGCATTCTTCTAAGGCCTATATTCACCACGCCGCAATAAATTGCCATTGGTAAGTAAATTATATAAAAAATTTAAAAAAAAAAAATAACCATAAAATGCTGTTTGATATTCCTACATTTTACAATTTAAATAAATATCTATAATTTTAAATTACATATACATATATATTTTAAAAATGTAATACATTACTAGATAGATATTAGAGTCCTTCATCGTATTTGTTGCCACAAAATAGTCACCAAAAAGTTTGGAGAATGGTACCGGAACAGTTAAAATCGAGTGTTTCGCAGCTCGGCTGCCAAAGCTGTTTTTATAGACTCGTTAAAAATGTCTACAAAATTTCTAAAGTAAAATTTTTATTATTATAACTTACAAACGGAAAAAAAAATTAATATATAAAATATCTTGTCCTACGCATAGAAAATCGAAACATCTTAAATTTAGTAATTAACATAATTTGAATTTATATCCTTTTATTTGTTCATAATAATAATATCAATAAATTTGTTTAGGAGCTTTATGGCTGAAATGCATATTTTCGTGCGTCAACTAAAACGTACAGTTACCGCACGTGAAACTGGTTCCAATAAACAATCGGCGAGCAAATCGTGCGCTTTGTCTTTGGTACGCCAACTTTATCATTTGGGCGTAATTGAGGCTTTTAGTGGCACATTGAAGCAACGCAAGGACGATGCGGATATGAAACCATATCCGGTCAAAATCTCTGAAGATTTAATGCAAAAAGTGGAAGAATGCATTCGGGACCTTGATCTACCAGTTATAAATCCTTACAATATTAAAGCGGAAAATGAGAATACTGGTGTTAGCTTACTCGTAAGTAATATTTATTTATAAAAAAATTATATATATAATTTTTTGTTATATTTCCAAGATCCCTAACAATAGGGAAGCAAGAAATCAAAACGACGATGCCTCTCAAATGCAGGGTTCAGTTATACCTTGGGCTCCGCCACAACCGAATTGGAATGCGTGGAATGCTTGTAATATTGATGAGGGTTACTTGGCTACTGCCACTTTAGATGACCTCTGCGAAGATCTCGAAACAACTTCGAAAGAAAAGCGAATGAATAATGCAGAACTGCAAAAATTCATTGAGTTTCGTGAATGCCTCCCCATAGCGGCTATGCGCAATGAAATAATGTCCAACATACATGAGCATCCTGTTGTTATCATACGCGGTAATACTGGTTGCGGCAAAACTACACAAATTGCGCAATATATATTGGAGGATTACATTGCATCCGGTCAGGGTGCCTTCTGTAATATTTATGTGACGCAACCACGTCGTATTTCAGCTATTTCGGTGGCAGAACGTGTCGCAGCCGAGCGTTGCGAGAATCTTGGCGAAGCGGTTGGATACTCAGTTCGTTTCGAAACGGTGACACCACGCCCCTATGGCGCCATCTTATTCTGTACTGTCGGTGTGCTCTTGCGCAAACTGGAAGGCGGTTTACGCGGCATCTCACACATTATTGTAGATGAAATTCACGAGCGCGATGTAAATAGTGACTTTTTATTGGTCATACTACGTGATATGGTGCACACATATCCAGATTTACATGTCATTCTGATGTCTGCTACAATTGATACAACATTATTTTCGGAGTATTTCGGTAAATGCCCCGTTTTAGAAATTCCCGGTCGTGCTTTCCCCGTGCAACAATTCTTCTTAGAGGATTGTGTAGAAATGACAAAGTTTATGCCGACACCTGAATCGCGCAAGAAGAGCAAAGATCGCGATGACGAGGAGAAATCTGTAATTGCTGAGAATGGTGAAGATCCAAATGAACAAAATTTGAACAAAGTTTGCGACGCAAAATATTCGCAGCAGACCAAAACGGCAATGGCATTGTTGTCCGAATCCGAGTGTTCGTTTGAATTGATCGATGCGCTTTTGGTGCATATTAAATCGAAGAATATACCGGGAGCTGTGCTTATCTTTTTACCTGGCTGGAATCTAATTTTTGCTCTGATGAAGTATTTGCAGAACTCACAGTTCGGCGGACCACAATTTCGCATCTTGCCATGCCACTCGCAAATTCCACGAGAGGATCAACGAAAAGTGTTTGAGCCAGTGCCAGATGGCGTAACAAAGGTAAAATTAATATATTTATTCCATTGTTGAAACTATTTTTTATTGAAATTTTTTTTCGCTGTTTTTTCATTCAGATCATATTGTCCACCAACATTGCCGAAACGTCTATAACAATTGACGATATTGTTTTCGTCATTGATATCTGCAAGGCGCGTATGAAGATGTTCACCTCACACAATAACCTCACAAGTTATGCCACAGTCTGGGCAGCCAGATCGAATTTGGAGCAACGCAAAGGTCGCGCTGGTCGCGTTCGACCGGGTTTCTGTTTTACCCTTTGCTCTCGTGCACGTTTTCAGAGACTTGAGGAGAGCATGACACCTGAGATATTTCGTACGCCATTACATGAATTGGCACTTTCTATTAAACTGTTGCGTCTTGGTTCTATTCATCAGTTTTTATCTAAGGCCTTGGAGCCACCTCCATTGGATGCCGTTATCGAAGCTGAGGTGCTTTTACGCGATATGCGCTGTTTGGATGATAATGATGAGTTGACACCGTTGGGGCGCATTTTGGCTCGTTTACCTATTGAGCCACGACTTGGTAAAATGTTAATATTAGGCTCAGTGTTTGGCTGCGCGGACATATTGGCGAACATGGCCTCATACTCGAGCACTTTCTCCGAGATATTTGCGTTAGACATTGGGCAACGACGTTTGGCAAATCATCAGAAACTATTGGGCGGTCGCAAGTGTTCTGATCATGTTGCTATGATAGTTGCTACACAGATGTGGGAAAAGGCCAAAAATCGTGGCGAAGAGGAGGAGATAAAATTTTGCGAGTGGAAGGGGTTGCAGTTGTCAACTATGCGCGTTATGTCCGAGGCTAAAGGTCAACTTTTAGATTTGTTGCAGCAAACCGGTTTTCCAGAGGAGTCAATGATATCGTATAAAGTGGATGCGAATAATGATGATCCGGTTTTGGATATGGCTACTGCATTGCTTTGTTTGGGTTTGTATCCAAACGTTTGCGTACACAAGGAGAAACGTAAGGTTTTGACAACGGAGTCCAAGGCTGCACTTTTACATAAGACTTCGGTAAATTGCAGCAACTTGGCTGTCACTTTTCCTTATCCGTTCTTCGTATTTGGCGAGAAGATAAGAACTCGTGCTGTATCCTGCAAGCAGATGACAATGGTGGCGCCACTACATTTGCTGCTCTTTGGTTGTCGCAAAGTAGACTATATCAAAGACAATATAGTTCGGCTAGATAATTGGCTTAACCTTGAAATGGATCCCCAACATGCTGCCGCAGTGGCAGCGCTGAAACCGGCTATTGAAACTCTAATCACTATTGCATGTGATAGACCAGATGAAATTGGTCAACTCGAAGAGCCACAAGCGAAGCTAATAAATGTTGTAAAGGAGTTATGTGTTATGAATGCTGGTGATTACAACATTACCAGGGAGGCTGGTGTGCTACCCTTCCAAAGTCGACAAGGTGGTGGCGGTGGCCATAGTGGTGGTCCACCGAGTAAGCGTGGACGTTTCGATGGCGGCAGTGGTTATAGTGGTTGGAACCGTGGTGGCGGAGGCAGCAATTGGGGCTCAGGTGGTGGTGGCAACTGGGGCCGCGGTGGTTTTGGACGAGGTAGTGGAACAAACCAATGGGGACGCTACGGAGGTGGTGGCAGAGGCAGATTTTAAGACTTTACATATTTTGTAAAAGATAACATCGCAGAATATTTATTCTCGTATTATAGTATTTAATTGCTAATAAAAAGTATATTTATGACAATATATATTCTAATTTTAAATTATACAATATTTTCTTGTGTCAAATCAAAATAACGATATTTAATACAGATTACGTTCTAGCCTATAACTATTATTGCTGATTTCGTGTTTTCGAAAATTGTTCTTCACAATATGTGCTGCAGTAGAAGCGCTTGGCATGTATGTATGTCGCTTCTTCCTGACAATTGCGGCACCAACGTTTTCTTTTGATATCCACCTCCTCTGTCTGTAGCTGACGTAGGCGCTGTTGCAGATGAGCAATTTCTGCTTCGAGCTCCGCAGTTCGCTGATGAATCCGTGGCCAAAGATAGTGCGCCACTCGTGATTCATCGTTGATTCTTTCAATCAATGCTTTGGTTTGTTTAACGCTTAAGTTTGACGGCCTACGAATTTTTAAATGATAACGACGCAACTTTAAACATGGCGTTTTCGTTATAAAGGTGTTATTTTCGACAAATTTCTTTGAATGTAATTTTTTCGACATTAAGGGTCTGGTTTTGCGTTTGGGGAATGCCGAGACTGTATTTCTTCTTTTGGGCTTCCTTTTCACCGGTTTGGACCAATTAGAAGCGGTATCCGTGGAAGTGACTATAGACATAGTTTCGCTTAAACCGGTATCGTAGTATTGCATTCTGCAATTTTCTTAATAAGAAATACAATATTAAATTTATTTTCCAAAGACTACTACTAATTGAAATTATTTTAAGGTTATGAGTTGCCAAATATTGTTTTTAGAAACGAATAAGAATGCCCAACCTTATATAATTGCACTCTATTCTTTCTGCATTTATTGTAGTTTAAAGCAGAGCAATTATTAACAACACCAAATTAAATTGGGAAAAGGATTTTTGTGGGATTTTGTTTTGAACGCAGCTGGCATCATCGATGTGGTTTTTGCAATTCCTTTCTCCTTTTCTACTTTCATCCTATTGCAGTGCTTGGAAAATAATGCTGCTGATAGGAAGTATATTCAATTGTGCAGTGAAAATTTGTTAAAATTCGGTTTATTTTTAATGAAAAGGGTTTGAAGAGTTCGAACGCAATGTAAAACAATAAAGCGCTTAAAAATATATAAATAATTTAGTGAAATTAGTGGATTCGGTGAAAAATTAACCTTTGCACCGTTGCCAGGACGAAAAATCGATAGTCGCAGACGGTGATTTGTGAAAATTCATTTTTTAGGGCATTTAACTGCATAATGGTAGGCCTACTGGATCCTTTGAAATATGGAGAACATTTTTATGAGTTATACACTAGTAATACTCGACGGTAAGTGAAATTTTACTAAATATCCAGTAAGAAAATATCGAGGCTGTGCTGACTGGACATTGGGCAGTGAAATATTGATTTTTCCCATGCATGCGTGACAATCAACCCTTAAATTACGTCAAGGCTATTGACATCTGCCAGTCAGCTGTAGTGCAACGCAGCTGCCAACTGGAATGCACGAAAATGGTCAAAACAAAGATACGCCGATAAGTGGTTTGTAGGTCAAAAAGCCGGAAAGTCGTACACAGCTGTTTTTGTTTACACTTTCCACGGAATAACTGGGTAAAGGAAGCCGGGTTGATTGTTTATGTTTAGATTTTTATCCAAGGTCGCGGAAGGCCAATGACATGCATTTTTGCATGTGCGCACGTGACATCAAAATAAAAAGGGAAATGAGAGATTTTATTTACGTATAGTATAATATGTATCACGAACATATGTTGATAAGACGAAGTAAGAAAATAAGATACATAAATATGTATGTATGTATTTTACAATGTGCTGTTATCACAGTTTACGAAGTCATTATTTATTACTAATTTTCTAATTATGTGGATAATATTAATTAGTGGATGGTTTTTTCCAGAAAACTTCAAAATGATCGTAAATCATTGTCTAAACGAAAAAATAAAGATAAGAAAGCCGCCGCACTTGCTGCAGCGGCAGCAGTGCTTGAGGGCAACGCAGGTGCCATTGTAAATCCAATGGATCCACCGATTATAAAAGATCATTTGGTATTATTTCCTACTTTTCCCGTGGCACATATAGAACTTGAAGCCAATGCATCGAAATTCGCAATTTTCGCCGTGATACGCTCCACTGTCCTGGAAGCAGAGACACGTTATGCACTATTTCAAGATAGCAAGGGTTCTTTGCGTCGCTTACACAATTTAAGTTCCTCTTGTTGTCTGGTTTGTGCCGGAACCTGTATGACAACTAATCTGCTTGACTGCTCTTGTCACAGCATGTTGTCAACAGCAATTAATGGCGCCAATGTTAGCAATGGATTGCTAGTGGAAAAACGTTCTCGACATGATTCTGCGAACAGTGATGCCGAGAGTGAGTCTGAAGAAGTTACTGAGAAAGAGTTTACACTTGTGCGTGTACCATTGATTGTGGGTGCAGGATTGCGCAGTCTTTTCGAGCTAATCGCTGAAGCGCGTCACATACAACCCATGTTATGTACGAAGGCACTTAGAGCATTACTAGATGTCATACAAGGACAACAGCCGGAATCATTTAAATTGGAACCTGATGATTTGATAAATCCGCTATATGATTTGTTGCTCGACTTAACCACTATGCCAGCAGCCCTTGTCGCCAATGCGACTACTGAAGCCAATTGGTCGGCAATGGCTTGCGCAGCTCTGATTGGACTTTGTATTGCACGCGGCGATACCGGAAAAATACTGAAGGCTATAGCGGCCATGTTGATGTCGCCCAAACAGTTGTCTACACAAATAATACAGTTACCTGCCGTACTATCTTCGCTACAGAGGACTGTTATGAGTGCCGCGCTGAATAAACCCACAAGACCAGATTTTCACACTCATGGCGTGCCCTTAAACTCGCTTATCGATGAGGTTCATTATAATTTTTCATATAGCATACAATTGTTTATGGATTTCATGAAAAATTTCTTTACAGTTCAACTTAAAAACATCGGCCGCTGCAAGCGGCAACCTTTACACTCAACCTGCAATGGCATCAGATGGCACATATCTATATCTGCTGCTTGGTAGCTCGTTGCTTAAAATCGGCACTGGTTTTAGCGGTTCATTTAAAGGGCACATTTATGCACAAAATGATGAGTTTACCAAGGAAAGATCTGGTTGGCTGGGTAATTTTGGCGGTAACCTCTACTTTCGACGCAATGTCAAGCGTTCAGCCGACCATTTGCACCTAGTTAATAAAGAGACGCTGACCATAAAGGGTATAAACTCTGTTAATCTTGTACCCATACGAGAGGGATTCAATTATGTACTTTTCACCGATGAAGATTCGATCAATGCGATCTGCACTAATAGAGATGTAAGTGGAAAATATATACGTAATTAAATTTTTTTTATAAAACTACAAATTATACACATCTTTTCCCAATTAGGACACGCTTGTTGTGAAAAAACTCAATTTCAATAACTCCAATACTTATGGCAGCGATGCGTCTCCACCCTTCGAGCTGCCTTTGAAGTTGGCTCGTAAGAAGTTTCGTACTCTCGGCTATGCCGCTTTCGAAGATGAAGTGCTCAATCAAAACCAAATACAAAAAATACAATCCTCATACAATATTTTCGAGCCGAAATTACCCAGTGATGTTGAGATACAGGGTATCGTATGCGGCAAAGAGTTCGGTTTGGTGCGTGCATCGAATGGCAAGGTGTACTATTATGGTAAATCAGCATCGTTGGGCTTGAAATCAATTGGACGCACGCCCACCATGAAAATGACTGAGTTGATTATTTCGAAAGTTTCGAATATTGTGCATATCGCCGTTGGACACGATGGTATACACGCTTTGTTGGTAAATGATGACGGTACTGTTTACTTTACGGGTCAGTATAACATTTCACTATTTCAACATAAAATAGTTACAAAGCATTTGACTTAAAGGTACTGCACGTCGTGGCGAAGACGGCGACTCTTCAAAGAATCGTCGACAACCAAAAGCAGTGAAGCCCAAAAAAATGTCAAAAATCGATGGTCATGTAGTCATACATGCGGCCTGCAATAACGGCACATCCGCTTTTGTCACGAAGACTGGCAAATTGATTATGTTCGGCAAGGATACGGCGCATTGTGATGCCAGCGGCTGTGTAAGCGATTTCATTGATCAGCACATAACGAAGGTGGCACTGGGTAAAGCCCATTGCGTGGCGCTGAATTCGAAGGGACAGCTCTTCACTTTTGGTCTGAATAATAAAGGGCAATGCGGCCGTGTATTCAGCAAATCCAGCAAAGACAATTGCATATCTTTACAAGGTGGCGGCAGTGCTTCAGGGGTGGGAACAACTGGTGACCCTGATGGGAAAAGTTTGTTGGGTAGCAAGAAGTTAAAGTTCGATTTTTCGACGCTCTGTGACTACGACGATCATCAGTTGGTACAGGGCCAATGTCGTGTTTGCGTGATGTGTCGCGAATGCACCGGCTACAATGTCTCGTGTGTGTCAACGTTGAACGTGCCCGTGGAGGAGCGTTTACCGGGCGCGTAAGTGCAGCAAATACATTAATTTTTTATTTTTATACCCTGAGTGAAACGTCGAATACCCTATAAAATATGTGTATAAATGATAGGAAAATCATAGGAAAAAGCTGAGTCTATTTAGCTATGCCTGTCTGTATATACGTGAACTACGTACGGCTTTCTCTCCGAACTTTCTCGCTTCGGAACTTAACACTCTCCCCCACTAAAACCACAGCGCCCATATTCACACACTGAACGAAGGAATACAGACATGACCATAATTTTGCAGTTGATGACGTTAAGATTCCGACCGTCAATAACATTTTAGGTCTGACTTTCGACAATCTGTGTTCCTTCGATTATATTATATACAGAGCCGCAACAAAATCCTCAAATCGCTAGCCGGCAGCACACAGAAATGTTGTTGACAACTTACAACTCAATCTTCCGGCCGGATTGCGCCGCGCCAATATGGCCGCCTGGATACCGTGAAACGCATACGAGAAATCGCAAGACTTGTCAGAACACTGCAATCCGAACTACGTCAGGATGCCTCTTGATGTCTCCTATCGAAAACCTGCATAGTGAATCCCGTATGCTCCCAGTTAAAGAGCTTTATGAACTCCTCTTCAAGCAGCTCCCGCTGGGGTACCTTCGCAGAAATCATCACTGCAGATATCTGTCTGAAAGCGGAAACGCATTCTCCGAACATCAAGAGGTCATTGCTCAAGTACGTCAACAACTTCAACGACATCAAACAACCGACAAACCGTCAAGACTAAATTCCGACAAGTGCTGACCGCATTCACTGTGGAGCTATTAACACCTTCACCGACTCCCTCTCTGTTAATGGCGTAATTGGAGTCAAACCACCACCCATTGCAGACGAAAAGCTCGAGTTACCGAAACGTTGCAGATTCAACTTCTACTTATCCAAAATCGACCCTGACATATCAAATATATGTCCAGCGTGCAACGAGTCCCCGCATGAAACTAACCACCTCTTGAATGCCCTGCTAACCCTACACATCTGACACCCCTTTCCCTATGGTCCGACCCCGACGAAACATCACGTTTCCTGGGCCTATCGTTGGATGGCCTATATAAGAACTTATCTGAACTTTACTACCATAACGGAGACTATATAACCATTACAACAACAGCAATCGGTTAAAATACCCTTTTTTTTATAGAAAACTGTTTTCTTTCACAAGGTATTTTATTGAAATTTAGCATAGTTATTATTCAAGGCAACGCCACAATCCCCAAACATATTGTTCAGATCGCACCACTGTAGCAGATAGCTGCCGGGTCAAAGTAACGGGAATGGAGTCGGATTTTAATTCGAACAAGGACTGTGAACTGGGCATCATTCCTCGAATTTATTTCAGGAGTCAAGATAAACTTAAACTAAGATTTACCGATCTAAACGGGGTTATATCTCCGATAACAGTCCAGATAAATTCCGGGTCAAATATCGTTTTTCTTATCAAGTACTTTTAATTGGACTTGAAGGATGTATATGTGACCTGGTCTACGAAAAGGGAGCTAGCTTGCGAAAACTAGTTTTCTGGGAAACAGCTGTTAAAAATCTCATCTTCCATCCGAATCAACTAAAAAGTGAAAATTGATTTTTTGGATTTTTTGACACCTAAGCCCCCTTTCCGTAGACCAGGTCACATATATTAAACGGTGAAGGATATTGTAGCTTCTGTGCAGCCGAAGTTAACGTTTTTCCGGTTTTTCTTACTAATAAAGCCATTGCTATTTTAGAATTTGTCCTTGTGGTCACGGCGATGCTGGCTGTTCCAAATGTGGACTCTGCTCCACATGCATCTCGCTGCAGGAGGCTGAAAATGATGCCAACAAGGATAATAAACAGCTACAAAGTGAGTTGAATCGTCAACGCTCGAAGAGCTTGATAATGCGTCGCAAGGAAAAGAAATCAGGTGCGGAGGAGAATGTTGGCGCGCAAGCAACAGACGCGGACAAAGATCCACCACGCGTTGCACCGTTGGCACCACAAATGCTCAATTTGCCGAGTAGCTCGCCGGTGGTGCAAGTGTCTTGCGGCCTGCATCATACCGTGGTGCTCACGTTGTCCGGTGAGGTGTACACATTTGGCAGCAATCAATATGGTCAGTTGGGCACTGGCGATTTGCAGCCGGTTAACGGTCCGGTTAAGGTTAATGTGCAAGGCGCGATTAGTCAGGTGAGCGCCGGCAGTAATCACACTGTGCTGATGACCTACAAGGGTATGGTGTACACTTTTGGCAATTACCAAAAAGGTCAGTTGGGCCGATTGCCCAATGATTTTCCCCGCGATAAAAGCACAAGCGTGGGTGCTGAGGATGTGTGCGCAACAACAAACAAAGCGGCGAGTAGTGAGCACAGCGGTGCTAGCACAGTTGCTGGTGGTGGAACAAAGGACGGCGTCATTGCGAATTTGCTGACACAGCGCCAGAAATTCCTGTGGCACTGTGCGCCAGGCGCGGTTTTGTAAGTGAACCACTTTGATATTTCCACTAATCATTGGCTAATAAAATTTTTTTTTATATATTTGGGATGTGCAGCGGCTTGGGTCCAAGTTTCGGCAAGAAAGCTACGTGGATTGGCGCCAGCGGCGATCAAACATTTATCAAAATCGATGAGTCGCTCATCACTACACACATATTACCGAAAGTGAATGTGGTTGCCAATAAGAAAACAATTTGTAAGTGCATGAAGTAACTCAATTTGTTACTAAAACCATAATTTTCTTACCACTTTTGTAAAAATAGTGCTCATTCCAACCATACCACTTACGTTCCATACACTCTCGATTAATCGCCGTGACGGCAGCTGCACCGCTCACTACCGCAATCAAATCAATTTCGTACAGCTCATACAAAATAGCAATGCCAAGGTAATGCCGGAGCTAAATCAAAATATCGCCGCAAGCGCCGGTGCTTCAGCAGTGGCCAGCAGCGCACCCGGTGTGCCGGCGTCGCCTCTACAGCCCGCTGTTGCTGGCGCCATAAACGAGCAGATGTCGCGTAGCATGCACGAGGCGCGTAATCAAATCTTTGATTTGCACGACAATCAGCAGGGCGAACAACAGCAACAGCGTCGCCGTCAACGAGTGCGTGAGCAGGCGAAGAGTCCCGCTGCCGGCGGCGCCTCGGCGAGTGGCAGTGTTGCGTTGGACAGACCGCAGCCGCAAATTGCATTCGCTCTGGATCCTCACTACAACGTTTTGTGGGTGTACGACGGTGGCGCGCGCAAGCTCCAGTGCTATAATGTGTTGGCCAGCGAGATCGCCAATTGTGGTGCTGTAAGTGGTGAAGTGAATTTTGCGAATTCTCTTGAGACATTGAAAATTTGTTTCTTTGCAGAATTCATCGAATTTCCGTGCCATATTATCGCCGGAGCTGGCATTGCCTAATAAGGCCGAAGCGCGCATATCGCGCTCGCAAGCTTCGCTAAATTTGCTCGCATGTCTGGACATACTCACTTCGGCCCAAGAAGCAATGTAAGCGAACTTATACCTTTAGCTTTATTTTTTTCTGAAAGTTTTAGTCAGCTTATAAAATATGTAAAAGTTATGCATAACGGTATACAAATTAAAGTAAAATCTGCAGAGTTTTTATTATTAAACGACCTTTCTTTTATTCCATATTCATTTCTAATCCTTTAATCATATACTTTTTTTTTAAATTTTTTTAATTTGTATTTAATTGTTTTAAATTGTATTCTATTTTTTTCATTTTTTTTCTTTCTTTTAATTTTTTTTATATTTTTATAATTTTTTTTGTTTTTTATTTTTCTAATACGATTGTAAAGAGACTTTAAGCCTTTTCGCATGTTACATAAATTAATTTAGTACGTTAAGATTATATTGACAAGCTAGTTTTTGCTCGTCTTCCCCATTTTGTCTTTTTTATATTCCTTAAAATTCTTCAGGTGATTGCTATTTTATCAATGCAAACAACCAAATTTACAGTGGGGACAACAACCCGCACAGTTAACACAGTGAACTCAATTTGATAGCGATTAAGAAATAGGCTCAATGTCTGCTAAGCAGTAATCTATCAGTTAAGTTCTAGTTAACTTAACCAAAACTGCTTCTTTCGGTAAATAACCTGTTTTTAATCTAACTACCTGTGCGAAAAGGCTATAAAGTCAAGATCCCGTTATAGTCTAAAGAACAAGGTACTTATACATATACCATAAAGCAATACTCAGACCGATCTGGATGTATGGAGTTTCAATCTGGTGTTGATTTTAAAGTCCTTGTCCCGATAAAAATCCGGGTCCTTAGACGCGATGTCGTGCGAACGGAGAAGAAAGTAGTAGTAGTTAGCTCTCTCGACTCACTCATTCTTTAGACCATCCTATTCGATTCAACTGATCTCAATTTCATTTTTGTTTCATTGTACTTCTACATGATTGGTTTTGCCAACAAATTTAATCTTTACTACTTTAATAACAATGTGGATTTTAAATAAAACTGAATATTATAAAAATATATAAATTTTTTTCTAAAAAATAAATTATTGCTTTAATACACTCCACAGTCCAACTTGTTTCGAGGAGTCTGCACCTAAGCAACAAAATCAAACCAAAGAAGCTTTGAATAACGAGTATCAGATAGTCAACCGTTTTGATAATTTCGGTGGAGGCTGGGGCTACTCCGGGCACAGCGTCGAGGCTATACGCTTCTCTGCCGATACTGATGTCATGATTTGTTAGTACTCTTACATAAATCTCTTACTTGTTACTCAATCATATCGTCATCCAAATCAAAATTTTCAAACAACAGGTGGCTTTGGCATGTTTGGCGGCCGCGGCGAGTACACTTGCAAATTGAAACTTTTCGATCTGGGCACCGACGGCGGTGGCTACGAGAAGGAGGGCGTACTCATTAGTGAAACCAAAGAGGTGCCGTTTGAGTGTGCTGCGCGAAGTAAGCATCACATTATGCTGCCCAAAGCGATCAATGCTGCGGCCGGACGCTGGTATTTAATATGGGCTCGCATCGCTGGACCCTCCTCCGATTGTGGTTCTTGCGGTCAGGCTTCGGTGACCACCGAAGATCAAGTGGTATTTACATTCAAGTCATCGAAGAAGGCCAACAATGGCACCGATGTGAATTCCGGTCAAATACCATCGATTCTCTATCGCCTCATAACGCAAGAATCGAAACAACCAACAGCACCAGTCGATGTGGATCCAGTGCAGAAGATTACAAAATCCTTTGCCAACACAGTGAGCAAGGAGTGCTTTGAGAGTTTAGTAGTGTTGCTAAACTGGTCGTGGGAGACATTCAAAACAAATTTGCGCGAACAACGCGAAAAGAGCCGCCAACTACAGGTGAAGCAATCGTTGTCCTATTTGATCTATGTGAACAAGTCCTGTCTGCGCTTGTTGCGAAAATATACAAATGAAATTTATCCACAACGCGCCTCAGAAACCTTTGCCAACACACTGACCGCGACGAGCATTGCTAATGCCCTCACGAAACTACAGACGCGCACAGGAAAGTCGGCCGATGGTAAAGGTGCGTAACTTTTGAGTTTTGAAGTTGATTTAGCTCTTCTGTTAAGATTACGTCCAAACAATCTAACTTCGTGAACACTATTTGCAGATAAAAATTCCAAAACCGCCCTGAGCAACTCTGCCTCCATGGTAATTGCGAATAACGTTGCCAAGTATTTTGGTGAGACATCTGCTGCAGCGACCACATCGTTAACAGGCGTTGCCAATGGCCTTTCGTCCACCCGCAAGCCCAACATGGAGAATATACAACTGGCCGAGTGCATAGGAAATGTGCGTGCACTGCTGATTAGCATATTTTGTGATGATATTTTCAAAGATATTTGCAACGAGAGGGGTGAGTACCTCAAATAAGTACCTCCACAAAACCATATTATTTAAAAAATCTCTAGTGTGTTAAGATGCGTTCCCAGTACAGACCGATTGTTCTTAGGCAAGACAAGAAAACATTGATTTAGATTATCGTAGATTAGAATTAACTGATCTGTGCACTGCGACTTGAGCATCTTTTGCACAGACTCACGTAGGACTATGTACTCTGACGAATTCCACGATCTTGCGAGGCGTCTTTGTAACCCTTCAGATATATGGATCCAAGGGTTTTCTTCCTGCGTCTGAAGATGGCTACGCCACGGCCTGCTCTGTGACCTGAGTTCTATTGTGCTTTTCTCTCTTTTGGACAGACTCACGTACGTTCAGTTCACTGCTGAATTCCGGTATCTTAGATCGATGAATTGATTGTGCCCTCTAATTCGTTCACATTATTTCGTTCAATCCTAAAGCTCTTAGAAAATCTGGTCTCTTTTACCATGTGAGGGCTTATATTTATCTGCTATTTCGTTTCCTCCAAAACCTGTATTTTCCGGAACCCAAAACAGCCGAACTTTATTCTGTTTGCCTACTACTCTTCCTGATTTACCGTTTAATATTGACCATATTTGATTACCCCACTTGGAACCAAATAGTTATCATTCATATCTAATAGAAGGTCCATGAAACGACCTGTTTCGATGGAGTCGGGCCATGGGGACACTTTCGAGGACTCTATATGCAGGACTTATGTTGAATATATCAGATTCTTATATGAATTTCTGAATAAGTTGAAATTAGGCAAACTTGAATTCTTGTTCTGGGTGCAGGATTGCATCCACGAACGTGATCGCTGGGAGAAAGTCGGTAAAGATATAATAGCTCCAATGTAAATGGCATTTTATACCTATCTGGAATTGAACGATAGGGGAGTTGAAACGCAGAATGTTGAATGTAACGTCTAATACTTTGGGCTTAACTGTCGACATTTTGTATTCGTCGGCAAAAATGTTAGGGTCGAGTCTGTACTTATTTGTAGTAGAGTCGCTTTGGATTTATCAGGGAAGAGTGTTAAGTTCCTTGCAGCGAACAAGCGGAAAGGCCAACAACGGTCACATCTACCCTTTAAACTTCCGTTCCCATGATAGTCCGATCTACGCTAGCTGACCGGACTCGTATTTTTATCCGGTCAAGGACTGCCAACCCGGGATTCCTTCAATTTACTTCAATAATGTTTTTTGCCATTACAACAACATTGCTTTAAAATTTTTCCAATGCTATATACTCAAATCTTCGTCAATTGCGAGAGCAACTTTACGTTCGCTGCCTCCAAAACTTTTTATTTTTTTGATTATTTACTACTTTTTTTTTAAATTTCAGGCTTCGCTATGGTCTTGGAAATACTAGAGGAATGTCACATAAGCTTCGTGGCTTGCTTTGATGCTTTCTACCCGACATCGTCACTGAAGTGGAACTGTCTCTGTGATCTGCTCTCACAAATGGATAAAGTAAGACTTAAAGCTTTTGCAATTACCATATTTTGATTTGGTAATTATACTCTCGCAACAAAGCTGCTAAAGAGAGTATTATAGTTTTGTTCACATAACGGTTGTTTGTAAGTCCTAA